TTACATTGTTTTCGTAATCGTTACAAGCCAAAATCGTAATCGAGATTAAAATACGATTAATTGCACAGCCCTAGTTATGTGTATTTTGTCATTAACTTTTTTCGGACCACTTATTTATTTATTTTGGTGACGATCCGACCTCCATGCTGCTCCTCTGGTTCAAACTGCATCCACCAAACAATATGATTTATCTCGACCTCCCCAAAATAACCAAAATCTGACACGGTGTGAAAAGTCTTTTTTAGTTGTTCGGTCGTCATGTCCTGCGATCTTCTTCATGCAGTGAGTCAGAATGAATATTAATACCGGGCGTTTCTTTGACTATTTATAGTGAAATATGGGCGTCACGTGAAGCCCGCAAAAGCTGCGCCGCATTTTGAGTTGATTGTGATTTATAAAAAAGGGAAACCGGCGTAGGACGTGCCGCACGCTCGTCCTACGCCGGTACATAGTGTTTTATGAATCGGAAAATGTCTGTGCGTATTTATTTAAGCAACCTTCCCACGTGAATCCTACGCAAGGCTTTATAAATGAGGCCCCTGGAATTTTAGGAGGGGAGGCATTAAATGTTATCTGGGGCAGAATGAATGCAGGGGGGGGGGGCATTGGTGTGCATTGGTCTACTGCCATACCATTTATTTTTTTAATGCAAAGGCAGTCATGTTGGGTAATGTGCACTGAATACTTCCCGTTATTCAAATGCAATAAAACTCAGTAACGGTTTATACTGGTGTCTAGTTCAGTGCTTCTCAAAGTGTGGACCGTGAGCGCCCCCTAGTGGTCCGTGAGTATATTGGTAAAATGTCACATTTGAAATTAATTAATTCAAGTTTTCCGCACTCTCGCGGGAATATCTCCGCAATGGAGCGAGCTTAAGTTCCTTTTAGATGTCTTTTAAAGGTCTTTTAAAGTCATTACATTTCTACTTAAAAAATGTGCAGATACCCTGATTACACTATTTGATATCAGGATTGCATTGTGATCCTGCTTCTGATGGAACAATGCTAACTATACGCTTGATAAGTAGTGGTCAGAGAATACGATGAAATATATTATCATACACTGTAGTTGGCCATATACTCATTGTCCTAAGTGTATTTGCCATTTAGCTAATACAATGTTCCCATGTGTTGTTTGTAGCATGTGAGGGATATTAAATAACATATCTTCTAAACTTCAAAAATTCGAGTGGTTTTGGTCTTGATAATAATTAATACTTTTGATTCAACTAAACAAAGCATTCATGTCCTCTGTGATCTCTCCTTCTGCTTCTAGTTCCCCACATTTGGTACAAGTCAGGGAGAGGATCCGGATCAACGGACAGCCCATTGGGAAAGAGCTTTTTACTAAATACTTCTGGCAGGTGTACGGACGGCTGGATGAAACTAAGGTAGGTCAGAGGTGTTAGACTCACAGCCTCTTCTCAGTGTGAAATGTCTGTATGTCTAGTCTAGTTGTAAGCATAGGAACCCTGACATGTTGTTTACCCCAAAGTTTTATGTTAGAAATGTACAGTACGGGTCTCCAGCACATAGAAACTGCCGGATGCTAACCTGGATATGTTGGGCAATTATCATAAGTTGCGTTAACAAAAATTACTTGGCCGATTTGGACAGTTGTTTTTGTGGGTGTTATTGAAGATGTCCGTTTCTGACGTTTTCAGGATCAAAAATTGCAGTTTAAACCAGAAGGTGGCCAAAGTCTGCCGTTAGCTTCTGGCATGTGCTTCCTGTTTGTGTTCCCAGACTGAATAGAGCCTCAGTCTGTATAATCATTGTCACGGGGAGATCATTGAGTCAAAATGAGACTCCTCGTGTCAGGATGAGCGTGACCATCGCGTGCTTTAAAGGTCACCTATTATGCAAAATCCACTTTCTCATGTCTCTTCTACATCAACATGTGTCCCCTCTTCTTCATGTCTCTTCTACATCAACATGTGTCCCCTCTTCTTCATGTCTCTTCTTCATCAACATGTGTCCCCTCTTCTTCATGTCTCTTCTACATCAACATGTGTCCCCTCTTCTTCATGTCTCTTCTACATCAACATGTGTCCCCTCTTCTTCATGTCTCTTCTACATCAACATGTGTCCCCTCTTCTTCATGTCTCTTCTACATCAACATGTGTCCCCTCTTCTTCATGTCTCTTCTACATCAACACGTGTCCCCTCTTCTTCATGTCTCTTCTACATCAACATGTGTCCCCTCTTCTTCATGTCTCTTCTACATCAACATGTGTCCCCTCTTCTTCATGTCTCTTCTACATCAACATGTGTCCCCTCTTCTTCATGTCTCTTCTAGATCAACATGTGTCCCCTCTTCTTCATGTCTCTTCTACATCAACATGTGTCCCCTCTTCTTCATGTCTCTTCTACATCAACATGTGTCCCCTCTTCTTCATGTCTCTTCTTCATCAACATGTGTCCCCTCTTCTTCATGTCTCTTCTACATCAACATGTGTCCCCTCTTCTTCATGTCTCTTCTACATCAACATGTGTCCCCATCTTCTTCATGTCTCTTCTACATCAACATGTGTCCCCTCTTCTTCATGTCTCTTCTACATCAACATGTGTCCCCTCTTCTTCATGTCTCTTCTTCATCAACATGTGTCCCCTCTTCTTCATGTCTCTTCTACATCAACATGTGTCCCCTCTTCTTCATGTCTCTTCTACATCAACATGTGTCCCCTCTTCTTCATGTCTCTTCTACATCAACATGTGTCCCCCTCTTCTTCATGTCTCTTCTACATCAACATGTGTCCCCTCTTCTTCATGTCTCTTCTACATCAACATGTGTCCCCTCTTCTTCATGTCTCTTCTTCATCAACATGTGTCCCCTCTTCTTCATGTCTCTTCTACATCAACATGTGTCCCCTCTTCTTCATGTCTCTTCTACATCAACACGTGTCCCCTCTTCTTCATGTCTCTTCTACATCAACATGTGTCCCCTCTTCTTCATGTCTCTTCTTCATCAACATGTGTCCCCTCTTCTTCATGTCTCTTCTACATCAACATGTGTCCCCTCTTCTTCATGTCTCTTCTACATCAACATGTGTCCCTCTTCTTCATGTCTCTTCTTCATCAACATGTGTCCCCTCTTCTTCATTCTCTTCTACATCAACATGTGTCCCCTCTTCTTCATGTCTCTTCTACATCAACATGTGTCCCCTCTTCTTCATGTCTCTTCTACATCAACATGTGTCCCCTCTTCTTCATGTCTCTTCTACATCAACACGTGTCCCCTCTTCTTCATGTCTCTTCTACATCAACATGTGTCCCCCTCTTCTTCATGTCTCTTCTTCATCAACATGTGTCCCCTCTTCTTCATGTCTCTTCTACATCAACATGTGTCCCCTCTTCTTCATGTCTCTTCTACATCAACATGTGTCCCCTCTTCTTCATGTCTCTTCTTCATCAACATGTGTCCCCTCTTCTTCATGTCTCTTCTACATCAACATGTGTCCCCTCTTCTTCATGTCTCTTCTACATCAACATGTGTCCCCTCTTCTTCATCAACATGTGTCCCCTCTGTGTAAAGAGACTCTGAAAGTTTCAGGAACAAAGATTCTCTCTCTTTTTGATCCATTTCTATAAAAACCTGTCTGAAAATGAGCTGATCAGATTTTGGCCACTTTATGATGTCATAACGATGTTTTGTCTTGTGTAACCATTAGCCAATCAGCAACCAAGGTAACCCCCCCCCCCCGTGGTGATTGTCCAGTCATGCCTCTCCTCTCTCTGCCCTCCTCAGGATGCTCATGGAGGGATGATGCCGGCTTATTTCCGCTTCCTCACCATCTTGGCCTTCCACGTGTTTCTTCAGGAGAAGGTACGCCACTTTTCTGTCCTGAACACAACTTTTCTTCCTGGCTGTATTTTTGCAAAGGTGTGCAACATCACAAAAGGGGTAAACTCTCCTGACAGACCCTCACAGTCACTCTGGGTCAGTGTGTTTGATAGACTGATACACGACCATCTTAAAGACCACGAGAAGGGCGAACGGTGGTGTTACTTAAAGGGGACCTATCATGCAAAATGCACGTTTTGATGTCTTGTATACATCAAGATGTGTCCCCGGTGTGTCAGGGAACTCACGCAGCGTTAGAAAATAAAACCCTCTCTCTTTTCCTCCGTACCCACATCTCTAAAAACGGGGCTACAACGAAGCTGATACAGATTTGCGTCCGATATGACGTAATATCTGAAATGTGGGCGGGCTTTACACCCACGGCCCTATCAGAAACGTCGCTATCAGAAACAATGCGTGACGTGTTTTGGACGTAATATGGTCTTTTTTTTACATTAGCATCGCTAACACTCAGAGCTAACCTGTACTGGAGAGAGTATGTGTAAAAAACAGGATATAAAAAGTAAACCCACGAGAGAAAAAGAGTTCGAGCTCCATACTGTTTCAGAAATAATCCTTGATGTGGTTTGGAACATGATATGGGACCTTTTTAAAGGACTAACTTCTCAAATCTAAACCGCTGTGTTCTCTGTTCAGGTGGATTTAGCTGTGATTGAAGTTGGGATTGGTGGAGCGTACGACTGCACCAACATTATAAGGTGAGTCTCAAGATGATCAAGAGATTGATGTTTGATCCACGTGTCCTTAAAGGACTTTAGATCAGACTCTGCTGGACGAAGGAGTCTCTGAAGGAGCCTTAATATGTTATGTATTAGAATAATGCTTAAGCTTCGTCACAGATAAACAGACCCAATAAAAGCAGCTTGATCAACATGGTCACACGTTATCAGAGAGCGGAGGACACGCAGATAAGAGAGTGTGTGTGTGTGTGTGTCTCTCTCCGTTTGTGTGTGTGTGTGTGTGTCTCTCTCTGTTCGTGTGTGTGTCTCTCTCTGTTCGTGTGTGTGTGTGTGTGTCTCTCTCTGTTCGTGTGTGTGTGTGTGTCTCTCTCTGTTCATGTGTGTGTGTCTCTCTGTTCGTGTGTGTGTGTCTCTCTCTGTTCGTGTGTGTGTGTCTCTCTGTTCGTGTGTGTGTGTCTCTCTCTGTTCGTGTGTGTCTCTCTCTGTTCGTGTGTGTGTGTGTGTGTGTCTCTCTCTGTTCATGTGTGTCTCTCTCTGTTCGTGTGTGTGTGTGTGTGTCTCTCTCTGTTCATGTGTGTCTCTCTCTGTTCGTGTGTGTGTGTGTCTCTCTCTGTTCGTGTGTGTGTGTGTCTCTCTCTGTTCGTGTGTGTGTGTCTCTCTCTGTTTGTGTGTGTGTGTCTCTCTCTGTTTGTGTGTGTGTGTCTCTCTCTGTTCATGTGTCTCTCTCTGTTCGTGTGTGCGTGTGTGTGTCTCTCTCTGTTCGTGTGTGTGTGTCTCTCTCTGTTTGTGTGTGTGTTTGTGTGTCTCTCTCTGTTTGTGTGTGTGTGTCTCTCTCTGTTTGTGTGTGTGTGTCTCTCTCTGTTTGTGTGTGTGTGTCTCTCTCTGTTTGTGTGTGTGTGTCTCTCTGTTCATGTGTCGCTCTCTGTTCGTGTGTGCGTGTGTGTGTCTCTCTCTGTTCGTGTGTGTGTGTCTCTCTCTGTTCATGTGTGTCTCTCTCTGTTCATGTGTGTGTGTGTCTGTCTCTCTGTGTTTGTGTGTCTCTCTCTGTGTTTGTGTGTGTGTGTCTGTCTCTCTCTCTCTCTGTGCATGTGTGTGTGTCTCTCTCTGTTCATGTGTGTGTGTGTCTCTCTCTCTGTTCATGTGTGTGTGTGTCTCTCTCTCTGTTCATGTGTGTGTGTGTCTCTCTCTCTGTTCATGTGTGTGTGTGTCTCTCTCTCTGTTCATGTGTGTGTGTGTCTCTCTCTCTGTTCATGTGTGTCTGTCTCTCTCTGTCTCTGTGTTCGTGTGTGTCTCTCTGTGTTCATGTGTGTGTGTCTCTCTCTCTGTTCATGTGTGTGTGTCTCTCTCTCTGTTCATGTGTGTCTGTCTCTCTCTGTCTCTGTGTTCGTGTGTGTCTCTCTGTGTTCATGTGTGTGTGTCTCTCTCTCTGTTCATGTGTGTGTGTGTCTCTCTCTCTGTTCATGTGTGTGTGTCTCTCTCTCTGTTCATGTGTGTGTGTCTCTCTCTCTGTTCATGTGTGTGTGTCTCTCTCTCTGTTCATGTGTGTGTGTCTCTCTCTCTGTTCATGTGTTTGTGTCTCTCTCTCTGTTCATGTGTGTGTGTCTCTCTCTCTGTTCATGTGTGTGTGTCTCTCTCTCTGTTCATGTGTGTGTGTCTCTCTCTGTTCATGTGTGTGTGTCTCTCTCTGTCTCTGTGTTCGTGTGTGTCTCTCTCTGTGTTCGTGTGTGTCTCTCTGTCTCTGTGTTCGTGTGTGTGTGTCTCTATGTTCGTGTGTGTGTCTCTCTCTCTGTGTTTGTGTGTGTGTGTGTGTGTCTCTCTCTGTCTCTGTGTTCGTGTGTGTGTGTCTCTATGTTCGTGTGTGTCTCTCTCTCTGTGTGTGTGTGTCTCTCTGTCTCTGTGTGTGTGTTGCTTTTGCAGACCACGTATAAGACGTATCAGTCTGTGTTTTCTAAATTGTGGTTTTCTATTTTGTTGTGTATTAAAATGTGTTTACATCGTGTATGAGGGTTTTCAGTCTGTGGCTACAAGTATGGTTTTCATTGTCTCGTGCTTTTACATTTGTTTTTTTAGTCCTATCGGTTTTGTCTAAATGTTTTTATTCTGCTTTCTATATATTTATTGATGTACAGCACTTTGGTGAACTCTGTTTAAATGTGCTATATAAATAAAGTTGTATTGGATAAATAAACTTGAATTGATTGTTTTTAAATGTCACACAGGCGTCCGTGGGTGTGTGGCGTCTCGTCTCTGGGAATCGACCACACTCAGATTCTTGGAGACACCATCGAGAAGATCGCCTGGCAGAAAGGAGGCATCTTCAAAGTGAGTGGGCTGAACACGTCTCAGTGTGATCTCAACACGTCTCAGTGTGATCTCAACACGTCTCAGTGTGATCTGAACACGTCTCAGTGTGATCTGAACACGTCTCAGTGTGATCTGAACACGTCTCAGTGTGATCTGAACACGTCTCAGTGTGATCTGAACACGTCTCATTGTGATCTGAACACGTCTCAGTGTGATCTGAACACGTCTCAGTGTGATCTCAACACGTCTCAGTGTGATCTGAACACGTCTCAGTGTGATCTGAACACGTCTCAGTGTGATCTCAACACGTCTCATTGTGATCTGAACACGTCTCAGTGTGATCTGAACACGTCTCATTGTGATCTGAACACGTCTCAGTGTGATCTGAACACGTCTCAGTGTGATCTGAACACGTCTCATTGTGATCTCAACACGTCTCAGTGTGATCTCAACACGTCTCAGTGTGATCTGAACACGTCTCAGTGTGATCTGAACACGTCTCATTGTGATCTCAACACGTCTCAGTGTGATCTCAACACGTCTCATTGTGATCTGAACACGTCTCATTGTGATCTCAACACGTCTCAGTGTGATCTGAACACGTCTCAGTGTGATCTGAACACGTCTCAGTGTGATCTGAACACGTCTCAGTGTGATCTGAACACGTCTCATTGTGATCTCAACACGTCTCAGTGTGATCTCAACACGTCTCATTGTGATCTGAACACGTCTCATTGTGATCTCAACACGTCTCATTGTGATCTGAACACGTCTCATTGTGATCTCAACACGTCTCAGTGTGATCTCAACACGTCTCATTGTGATCTGAACACGTCTCAGTGTGATCTCAACACGTCTCAGTGTGATCTGAACACGTCTCAGTGTGATCTGAACACGTCTCAGTGTGATCTGAACACGTCTCAGTGTGATCTCAACACGTCTCAGTGTGATCTGAACACGTCTCAGTGTGATCTGAACACGTCTCAGTGTGATCTGAACACGTCTCAGTGTGATCTGAACACGTCTCAGTGTGATCTGAACACGTCTCATTGTGATCTGAACACGTCTCATTGTGATCTGAACACGTCTCAGTGTGATCTCAACACGTCTCAGTGTGATCTCAACACGTCTCAGTGTGATCTGAACACGTCTCATTGTGATCTGAACACGTCTCATTGTGATCTGAACACGTCTCATTGTGATCTGAACACGTCTCATTGTGATCTCAACACGTCTCATTGTGATCTGAACACGTCTCATTGTGATCTCAACACGTCTCATTGTGATCTCAACACGTCTCAGTGTGATCTGAACACGTCTCATTGTGATCTGAACACGTCTCATTGTGATCCTACTCATACTTAAAGGGGACCTATCATGCAAAATGCACTTGTGTACGTCTTTTATACATGAATATGTGTTCCAGGGAACTCACCAAGTGTCAGAAAACACAACCCTCTCTATTTTCCTCCATACCCAAATCTCTAAAAAAGGGGCTGCAACGGATCTGATAAAAACTGATCCAGATTTGAACACTGTCCTGACGTCAGGACGGTGGCGCTACGGCTATTGGGCCAACTCCACCAATCAGGAGGAGACAGCCACGGCCATTGCCGTTCGAAAGCGCTGGAGACGCTGTAGTACATATGCCAGGCCAGTAGATGGTGCTGTTCTCACTGAATCTGCCCTTGCTAAAACAGGGGTAAAAATTGTCAAATTGAGCGAAATGAGGCATGGCTAAAATGCATGATCTGTTTGGTATTTTGAAAAAAAAAAAAGTATAAATATGCCTTATATAGGTATGGTCCTACACTATATTATTATAATATAGCATGATAGGTCCACTTTAATGTAATGGGAATAAAACATGTCTACCTTTTATCTTCAGAGGTGGGAAGTAGTGGAGTACAAATACTTTGTTATTGTACTTAAGAACATGTTTCTGGTATCAGTACTTTACTCCACTACTTATTTTTCTGACGACTTTTTACTTTGACTTCTTACATTTTGAACCCAAATACCTGAACTTTCTACTTCTTACACTTTCAAAACAGGCTGGTTACTTTAGTTTGTGGAGGTGTGCAGACTGCCACACACTTTAGGAAACACACTTTGGACGTAGAGACACTGAAGTACTCATTGTTGTACTGCCCTCTACCGGGTGTGTGTGTGTGTGTGTGTGTGTGTGTGTGTGTGTGTGTGTGTGTGTGTGTGTGTGTTTGTCTCTATGTGTGTGTGTGTGTGTCTCTCTATGTGTGTGTGTCTCTATGTGTGTGTGTCTCTATGTCTGTGTGTGTGTGTCTCTCTGTTTGTGTGTGTGTCTCTCTGTTTGTGTGTGTGTGTGTGTGTGTCTCTCTGTTTGTGTGTGTCTCTCTGTTTGTGTGTGTCTCTGGGTTCGTGTGTGTGTGTGTCTCTCTCTGTCTCTGTGTTCATGTGTGTGTGTGTGTGTGTGTTTACAGCCGGGGGTTCCTGCCTTCACAGTCAAACAGCCAGAGGATGCGATGGTGATGCTCCGGAGCCGAGCCAAAGAGATGAGAGTCAGTGAACAGATTACAGATATCTCAGTCAATCATCTCTGTGTTGATAACGTTGTAATACATGTTGTTGTCTCTACCCTCCGGCTGCTTGTATGTAACCCCCGTCTGACCTGTGGTTGTAGAGTCCTCTGCGGGTGTGTCCAGATCTGGAAGAGTACCAGACGGACTGTGGATCTCTTGTTCTGGGTCTGGCCGGGCAGCACCAACGCTCCAACGCCTCCCTCGCCCTCCAGCTCAGTCACACATGGCTGCAGAAAAGATGTCTACCAGGTGGGGCGCTCTGCCAGCATTTGATAGCAGCTGCAAAAAATGTGTATTTCTTGTATTTTCATCCCAACCTGTCCTCGCTCAGCAGAGACAAGCTTTCCCTCCACGAGTGATGAGAACACAGAGGTCCTTCAGGGGGCCGCCTTCACGCCCAGCCCCATCATGGTGAAAGGTGAGTCTGCAGAACACACACATTGTGTCCCCTCTTCTTCATGTCTCTTCTACATCAACATGTGTCCCCTCTTCTTCATGTCTCTTCTACATCAACATGTGTCCCCTCTTCTTCATGTCTCTTCTACATCAACATGTGTCCCCTCTTCTTCATGTCTCTTCTACATCAACATGTGTCCCCTCTTCTTCATATCTCTTCTACATCAACATGTGTCCCCTCTTCTTCATGTCTCTTCTACATCAACATGTGTCCCCTCTTCTTCATGTCTCTTCTACTTCAACATGTGTCCCCTCTTCTTCATGTCTCTTCTACATCAACATGTGTCCCCTCTTCTTCATGTCTCTTCTACATCAACATGTGTCCCCTCTTCTTCATGTCTCTTCTTCATCAACATGTGTCCCCTCTTCTTCATGTCTCTTCTACATCACATGTGTCCCCTCTTCTTCATGTCTCTCCTACATCAACATGTGTCCCCTCTTCTTCATGTCTCTTCTACATCAACATGTGTCCCCTCTTCTTCATGTCTCTTCTACATCAACATGTGTCCCCTCTTCTTCATGTCTCTTCTTCATCAACATGTGTCCCCTCTTCTTCATGTCTCTTCTACATCAACATGTGTCCCCTCTTCTTCATGTCTCTTCTTCATCAACATGTGTCCCCTCTTCTTCATGTCTCTTCTTCATCAACATGTGTCCCCTCTTCTTCATGTCTCTTCTACATCAACATGTGTCCCCTCTTCTTCATGTCTCTTCTTCATCAACATGTGTCCCCTCTTCTTCATGTCCCCTCTTCTTCATGTCTCTTCTTCATCAACATGTGTCCCCTCTTCTTCATGTCTCTTCTTCATCAACATGTGTCCCCTCTTCTTCATGTCTCTTCTTCATCAACATGTGTCCCCTCTGTGGAAAGAGACTCTGAAAGTTTCAGGAACAAAGATTCTCTCTCTTTTTGTCCTGATCCATTTCTATAAAAACCTGTCTGAAAATGAGCTGATCAGATTTTGGCCACTTGATGATGTCATCACGATGTTTTGTCTTGTGTAACCATTAGCCAATCAGCAACCAAGGTAACCCCCCCCCACCTTATCACCTGCATCTCCTCCTAGAGCACCATTGAGTTCTTTGTAACCAAATCTCTCTCAGAGGGGCGTGGGGAGGGGCTCCTTATTTTCATCTAAAGTAACAGACAGAGAATCAGCACTTTGGAAACAGGGCTGAAACAGAGGGGATTATGGGTAATGCTGCAATGATCTGTTTGGTGTTTCAGCCAATCAGAGACAGGTTCTGTATATATCTGAGACCTGTACTATATTGAGGAAGAACAGTATAATAGGGGACCTTTAAAGGGGACCTCATCCAGTTTTGATGTGTGTTTGCTCCAGGTCTGGCGGACACAGAGTGGGCGGGGAGGAACCAGACTCTGAGACACGGAGCGGTGACCTACTTCCTGGATGGAGCTCACACGATGCGCAGCATGAAGGCCTGCGTGCACTGGTTCAGAGAAACTGCATCCCAGCATGAGAGGAACTCCAGGTGAGCAGCAGCACTCTGATGACATCACACACACACACTGTACCTGCATACAAGGTGCCACCTGCTCATGAGAAGGTGTGTTTGTGTTGCAGTGGAGCTGTGGCCAGAGTCCTGCTGTTCAACGCCACCGGAGAGAGAGACTCAGCCGCCATGTTGAAACTGCTGGTGGTGAGCGGGACTTTTTGCAATTGGTGTAGAAACAAACCAGTTTAACATGATTTGTAAATGTTAATCAGACTGTTTTGTAATGGTAACAACCTCTCTGATAATAATGATCAGATATTAATGTCTTTACTGTCCTCTCTCTTTTCAGCCGTGTCAGTTTGACTTTGCTGTTTTCTGCCCGAACATCACCGAGGCCATGGCTTCATGCAACGCAGGTGAGATCATTGAACCTGTGTGAAAGATGTTTGTGTGAAAAGTTTGAATTGCACGAGGGTATTTTCCACATGCGTGTAAATGATGTTGTTGGACAGCCTCACTAGTAAGGCAAGGCAAGTTTATTTATACAGCACCTTTCAACACAAGGCCATTCAAAGTGCTTCTGGGAGTTTGTTCCAGATATTTGGAGCATAATAACTGAACTTCTCCATGTTTAGTTCTGACTCTGGGGACAGAAAGTTGACCTGTGTCACTACCCGAGCTGTCAGGTTACCCGAGCTGTCAGGTTACCCGATCTGTCAGGTTACCCGATCTGTCAGGTTACCCGATCTGTCAGGTTACCCGAGCAGTCAGGTTACCCAATCTGTCAGGTTACCCGAGCTGTCAGGTTACCCGAGCTGTCAGGTTACCCGAGCTGTCAGGTTACCCGAGCTGTCAGGTTACCCGAGCTGTCAGGTTACCCGAGCAGTCTGCGCATGTGCGAAAATGAATAACCTACAATAATACATAATGATTAATGAGTTGATTTATATTCTATAATATCATAAATCAATAGAGAGGCAAAGTCCCTCCCTTTCCGGTGGACCTCCATGGGACCTTATTTCGGAAAAATTATGCATTGAAGTCAATGGGGAGAGAACGATTATCTTTTGATCCCCTTTGAATTGTGCCACGAATTACACATATGATGTTTGTCAATTTAAAAGATAAATTTGCAATTTTAAAACTTTGAAGTAACACTTTTTTTGCATGAAACCGCTCAATGAACTACATCTCTGGTCTCGCACAACAACACACGTCACTACTGTCTTGCCAAACAAGGGATTGACTATCCTCACTATCACCACAATGAAACACTTCCTGAAGAAAGTCATGCAAAGCTGCCTGCCTGCCTTCCTTTGATTCTCTCTGAACTGCTTGGTCGTTTTAATGTTTAATGTCAACCATTTGTGCAGATAGCATGAAGTAGAAAAGATCGCCGATGCCAATGTAGCGTTAGCGTTAGCTTTTCTCCCCCGGAATTAAATGGTGTATTATAGAATGATCACACCGGTGACAGTACTCTTCAAAGGGTTCACGAAATATGACTACTACTCTTACTGTTCAACATTTTGGGTTACTTAATGTTACTTCATGTTAAGGCTAATAAAAATGACAAGGCTGTAATGCTAACTAACGTGCTAGCTACTAGCTAGGTAGCTAACTTGATCAAGCCACTCCTGGTCCTTTCATCAGACGGGAAGCAAAAGAACGAGCAAGACCCATTGCTGGTATAATAACAACCTGGTACTAAGCACACAGGCATCTTGTTAAAGTTATCTTATCTTAGCCAGCGCCATATAGATAGATTATATCTATATTGCGCTGATCTTAGGTATCTGAATGGTGGAGGAAAACAATTGTTACATCACTTACGCGACTCTGGGATTTGTAGTCTTTCTAGTTGCGTATTTTTCATAGTCTTATATTTCAACAGTTCTACAACAAACTGTGACTTTTTTGACATGGAAATGATTTTTTAAAATTGACAAACATCATATGTGTAATTCATGGCACAATTCAAACGGGATCGAAAGATAAGTTTTCTCTCCCCATTGACTTCAATGCATAATTTTTCCGAAATAAGGTCCCATGGGTCGGAAGTAGTAGGGCGGGACTTCGCCTCTCCATACCTGCCAAGTAACTAGTTTGACTTTACATTACTTGCACTTACCTTTTAAGGATGAACTTTGGCGAGATCCGTTTTATTTTTAATCGGTCTCTGGTTCCAACAGAAAAATCACCCTTTACCATATCATCTTTTAAATTGCGGTAAAATGCAAAAGAATCCATGGTATATAATAGGGATGGGAACGATTAATCGAATATTCGAAATTATTCAGGTATTCGAATATGAGTTATGAATATTTTTATTAATTTTTTTTTTTTTTTTTTGGGAGAACGCAAATCACGCAGACTCAAACCTCATCTTATGCCCAAATGCGGCGCAAATGCGCTCCGCAGCTGTTGCGAGGTTCCGGCGCTAACAGTTCATGAGTGTGCTCCCCCGCCCCCCTGTCAACACTCGCGACACATGAGTGGCAACCGTGTGTGGCGGCAAAGTACATAGACATTTTGACAGGAGAGATTTAGTTTTGCCGGTATTCAACATATTTTACCAGTCATAGTCCGGTAATTATTTACACTCTAAGAAGAGTCTTGACATGGCGTCAAAAAGGAGTAATGTGTGGAAATATTTCGACCAGGTTAGTGAGTGCGGTGTAGAGTGCAAACTATGCCAAATTAAACTTAGATATATACATACTATACCTTGCTATACCCGCAACCTCCGTTCCAGCTGAGAGGGTCTTCTCTACAGCTGGCCTGATTGTGAATCGCCTCCGCACATGAAAGCTGTAGGCCTATAGCTGTCAAACTGTGATCACCAGTTCAATACATTTGACAAATTCGACTTGGTTTCTATACTTATTTGAACATGTATTTATTTATTTCCAAAAGTTATTGAAAAAAAAAATTCAGATCTTTTTTTTTTTTTTACCCAATTTTTTTTTTATAGGATATTTACATTTCGGTTAACCGGTTAACCGTTTTTTGGGGGGTCGAATATTCGAATATACATTTGCTTTCAAATTCCCATCCCTAGTATATAAGTAGATGTCTCTCTTCTCTCTGCTCCATCAGCACTATGGACATAAATCATTATGTATTGTTGTAGGTTTTTCATTTTCGCACAGACCGATCGGGTAACCTGACAGATCGGGTAGTGACAGACCTGTCCCAGAAGACCTGAGAGTAATACAGTTAGTAATGAATACCTTGTTCATGGTGTCGCCTCTCAGACCAGCAGAACTTCAACGTGTCGGTGGAGAACATGCTGACCCGCTGCCTGGACAACGAGAGGAGCTGGCACCTCCACAACAGCCAGGTTTCTAACAAAGGCTCCCAGCTGCTGATTGAGGGCAGTCTCCCGAAGAAGACGACGACGACGGACACGCTGGTGTTCCCCTGCATCCTCAGCGCCCTGCAGTGGATCACTCAGGGTCGGGATCCGGTTCTGACTGACCCGGTTCTCCCGGTGAAACCTAGCATCAACGCTAAAGCTGCTCCTCTCTGTGATGCCTCTGAGATCCACATCCTCATCGCTGGGAGCCTCCACCTGGTGGGGGGGGCGCTCAAACACCTGGACGCAGCTAACTACAAGTAAACAGACATGGGGTATTAGTGGATTTCAATAATGGGATGTTCTCATTCCTCTTCAAATCTAAATGAGGTGTGTGTGGTGCTAGCTTTTTGGACTGAATGAGACAAGCTGCACCGAGGTACTGTTAGCTTTCCTACAGTAGCTGATGCTAGCGCTCAAACACCTGGACGCAGCTAACTACAAGTAAACAGACATGTGAAATTAGCGAATTCAAACAGTTTAAATAATGGGATGTTCTCATTCTTCTTGAAATCTAAATGGGGTATGTTTGGTGTGAGCTTTTTTGGACTGTGTCTTCAGAGGTTTACCTGAATGAGACGGGCTGTTAGCTTGATGCTAGGAGCTGATGCTAGGAGGCGGGACCAGGGCAGCTCCACCCAGATCCGTACAGACGAGCAGGGGGAAGATCACTTAAGTCTTAATGAAGCCAAACATGTTTACAATGATCTGAAAGGTGCATTCAGGTGCAGCACGACGAGCGGAGCTGACTCAACTGGAACTGTGTGCCTCGGGATGACCGCAGCGTCGTCTCATTATATTACAGAAACAGAAACACGACAGAAAGTGCTTCATGGAGTTATGATTTATTGTGATTTTACTATCAATTGGAACACTTGACTATTACGAAGAAAGCCATTTTGCACGGCTTCTAATTTTGCTGGATTTTGACAATGTATTTCACACATGGCCTACTCGTTTCCTTTTTGTACGCGAGTGTAACTTTGCTAATGTCCTCCGATGAAGTCATGTAACTAGCTCTCCTTCCGTGCCATCTGTCAGACTGTACACTGAAATTATAGTAATATATAAATGGTCCTTCATTTGCATTATCTGACACTACATACAAGTATCGTATGTAAAATGTTTTTAAAAGATATTGAAACTGTATAAAAAATACATTTGTAATCGGGGTCTTCATGTTGTCATGGTGATTAAGTGACGCTAACGGGTGTAACCTCAAGTGAGTTTACATTTCCTTTCAGAATAAACCAAGAATATTTGTCACTTGTTGCAAGTGTCTGAAATACGAGTTAATAAAAAATGGCTTTGCAAATTGTGTAATCTTTTCTTGGTCTCCTTCCAGAAGCTTAAATAGGATATGTTTTATAATTATAGAAACAACTGTTATCAATTAATTGTAATCAACATCTCCCCCCTCATCATCCTCATCAATGGTAGAGGTCTGATATACACACTAGTACACACTGAAGATCACAATATGGGCGTCTGTATAGGATGTATTGGAAAGCAAGTTTTCTAGGAAATGGGCAATTATAATTTACTATATAGTTACATGCAAGTTATATTTGTTTTTTATTTAAGTCTAGCTCACCAACATCCAGCTGGAGGTAAGTAAATGGTAACTAGACTGCATTTATATAGCGCTTTCCATGTCTTTGACCCTATACTTGAGTATTTCCATTTTATGCTACTTGTACTTTTAGTCCACTACATTTTGGAGGCAAGTAATGTACTTTTTACCGTTCTACATTTATTAAACACTCAGTTACAAGCTACTTAGCACAAATGAAAACACATGATGATGATAGATTTTAATATTCACAAGCTACCCTGCAGTATACAAAGTCATTCAAACTAGCTGCACCTTTACCAGCTTTGAGATCACTTTAATGATCAATCATTTTAAAACATATAATATATATTATTCTGAATACTTTTACTCAAGTACAAGATCTGAATACTTTTACTCAAGTACAAGATCTGAGTAGTTAAAATGGCTTTATACATTAATAAAAACCAGTGCTGCATCCTACGCATAGTAAGTGAGGACCATCCAGTTAGGGATACTACTTTTACTCAAGTACAAGATCTGAGTACTTCTACTTTTACTCAAGTACAAGATCTGAGTACTTTTACTCAAGTACAAGATCTGAGTACTTATACTTTTACTCAAGATCTGAGTACTTATACTTTTACTCAAGTACAAGATCTGAGCCCTTCTACTTTTACTCAAGTACAAGATCTGAGTACTTCTACTTTTACTCAAGTCTTACTGTTGAACAGCTTCCTCCCATGGCTGAAGGACTGGGCTGTCACTCAAAAACTGAGTAGCCAATTGGGACACACCCCTGAAAGTCCCGCCCACCTGAGATGTTTGCGCCTGCAGCGAGAGCAAAAGTCTGATCATTGAGAAAGAAGCAAAGAGAACTGCAAACAAAAATATATGTTATAAAAAAGAAAAAAGACTTATAGTTTACATGATTACACAAATTATTTGTTTGCAAGTTATAGTTTTACCTTTGGAATTACATTTATTTTAGCTTGACTCAGTTTTGTTCTTATCTTAAACCCTTAGTTTTGCTTGATTCTGAGAAAGTGTTCCTTTATCTTAATGGCACAAAACTGACTCCATAAATGAACCGGCTCCAATGGTTCAAGTCAGCGGCAAATGCCTGTGTACAAATGGAGCGCACCGGCCACCGTAGTTACCGGATGTAAGCAGAGTCGTCCTAATGCTAACACAAGGTGAGAATGTTATCGGATTTTGTTTCAATCAAGTAACAACAAAGGCTTACTAGACCGACCAAGGTACGTTTTAACCGTTTGTTTTTTAGAAAAGCACTCGTATGCTAAACTACACTTTGAAGCACTGCAGTATCCTGTTGAAGGAACGGTGATAATATTATAAACAAGGTGAATTTAGCGATCACAACGAAAACGGCCAAGACACAAATTGAGCCCAGTGTTAAGGGCTGTAAATATAATAACGTGTGTCTAAAATGGACAACATTGTTAGGAGATTTAAAACTATAGCCTACAGCGATTCTGCACTGCGGTCACTTTTCAAACCGCTGCTCTTCATTTTTTGTCCTGCTATATTTGATGAGTGATACAAATATTTGTTACCATAAGTTCTTAATAAAACTGATACTGTTGGACTCGGTACTAGTTTGACTGCTACCAGAAATAAAATGAAGTACTTTTACTGTGTACTTTGTGAGTAATCCTCTGTCAAAGTCCCCTCCATACATAATGCATGTTTTCTGCTATCTTTGATGAATGATAAAAATAAAATGTTACCATTAGTTCTTAATGATATTCATACTGTTTGACTTTGTATTAGTAAGCCTACTACGAACAATACATTGAAGTACTTTTACTGTGTACTTTGTGAGTAATCCTCTGTCAAAGTCCCCTCCATACATAATGCATGTTTTCTGCTATCTTTGATGAGTGATACAAATAAAATGTTACCATTAGTTCTTAATGATATTGATACTGCTGGACTCAGTAGTCTTACACCTGCTACCACAATACAATGAAGTACTTCTAGTGTGTTGTTTTTGTCAAAGTCCCCTCCTGAGAACAAAATCAAGCCACTTCTGCTAAGTTTGATGAGGGAAAATAATTATTGTTGCCATTAGTTCTTTGTGAGATTGAAAACTGTTGGACTCAGTACTAGTGAAACTATTCCCACAAGTACTATGAAGTACTTTTACTGTGTACTTTTTGAGTAATCCTCTTGTCAAAGTCCCCTCCTGAGTACAAGAATGCATGTTTTCTGCTATCCTTAACAAGCATTGAAAATATGTTCTTCATGAGACTGATAGGATGCTGAACTCTCTCCCCTCCCTCCCTCTCTCCCTTCCCTCCCTCTCTCCCTCCCCCCTCTGACATCTCTCCCCTGACCTCTCTGCCCTGCCTCCCACCTTTCCCCCCTGCCCCAAATGGACCTGGACTTTAACCCTAACCCCCACACACACACCCACACACACACACACACACACACACACACACACACACACAACCTTCCCTCATCCAGCACCAGTCACTTTTCTCCCCAGCTCCGCTGCTACTGCACTGAAACTGTATTTTGAACATAATTTTGTCTTTTGCACTAAAGAATACTTGCATTAATGTCAATTCATGTTCTGGGGATTGTGTTTTTTTTAAATATATTATTAACTAGTACTTATTACTACTATTACTTAGTCTTATACCCTGCTATCTAGGCCCTTTTTGTATCTTGTTTTATGTATATATGTCACACTGTGGGACTGCGAGAAACGGTATTTCAAGATTTCTGTATGTATAACACATGTAGAAATGTTGACAATAAAGCTGACTTTGACTTTGATATTGATATTGTTGGACAGAGTATTTTAAGAGGATATGGTAGACATGATATCAGCACTACTTCCAGTCAGTACTCCGGTAGCAGCATGTTAACCCCTTGGAAAGTCTTTAGAGACTGGACTGGATAGCTGGCCTATCCTTCAGCACAGTGACGCACCCTGTCACTCTTGTTGGCCTCTTATGAAGCTGCGGTCTTTAAAATATGATTATTTATCTGCCCCTAGTTTGTTACCTATTATAACAGGACCTTCTGACGAAAAACTCATAGTTTATTGGGATGCTTTGAATAGTGAAATCACATTTAAGTAAAAATGTTATACCTCCCAAATTCGTACGTAGGTCGTGGGAATTATGCCAATTGCTTTTGTTATTCAGCTACAGATTCAAGGTTCCATTTATAAAATCTTTTTTTGCTGACATGGCCAACATCTTTTAAGAATACAATTCTGGCTGCAAATACAAAAATCAACAGCACTGAATAATGAATGTTGGAATTTAAATAAAGTGTGAAACTTGGACAAGCAAACAGAGCTCATAGAGAGGTTGCACCCAGTCCGTCATCTTTCCAGAATTTCGGCCCCATTCATTTCAGAAGTTGAAATGCAACGGTTAGGTCAAAGCGAAACAAGTGTACACCTGTATTATCTCCATTAAACTGATCACTGCTGTCTGTGCAGCCTTACAGGAAAGGAGGCAAAGATGAGGGTTTCCACCATTCACCTTCAGCAGCTCGCCATCTTCACCACTGTGCTGACTGGGGGGGGGATAGGCACCATGTACTATCTGATGCAGAGTGAGTACAACTCAGTTATGTTTTGTCAACACCATAACGTAAAGGCCTCAATATGTGATAAAATCAAAGTTGAGCAAGCGTTCTATTTTCCATTTTCCTGTTATACTTATATATATATATACTTATGGCATCTGCTAGGCTCGTCTGTTTTGAAAACAGAACCACATTTTGAAGATGGATAAAATAGACAGATCAGACTATCATCGTTCACTGGACTTCAAGTAAATGAACAGTTTTAGGTCGGTCATCACGACCAGTTTTAGGTCGGTCATCACGACCAGTTTTAGGTCTGTCATCACGACCAGTTTTAGGTCGGTCATCAACGTTTTGAATGACTGAATGGAGTTTGGGTCTGTGCTAGGCTGAGCTACTGTATCATTGTTACTGCAACAGCATACTTTTTGGATCACCTGCATTCATACTAAAAAAACTTCAATATGTCCAAAACTCAGCTGCCCGCTTTCTCACCTCCACCCGACGCTCCGACCACATCACCCCTATCCTCCATGACCTCCACTGGCTCCCCATCAAACACTGCATTTCCTTTTTTAAATATTACTTTTCACTTTCAAAGCCCCCAACAACCTTGCCCCCCCCCCCCCCCCCCCCCCCCCCTACCTCTGTGACCTCATCCAACGACACACCCCCACCCGTCGCCTCAGGTCTGCTGAAGCTAACCTACTGTCTGCAGCCCATCAGGACAAAGCTCCGGACCTGGGGTGACAGGGCCTTCGCAGCCCCCCCCCCCCCTCAGTCTGGAACCTTTTCACTCTTGCCGTCAACTCCTAATCAACTAACCCCTCGCCCTTATTCCACCTAGCTTAGCACTTTCTACTTTTGTTGTTATTTTGTTTTACTTGCTTGTAAGCGCTTTGAGCACCAGGAAAAGCGCTTTATAAATGTAATGTATTATTATTATTATTATTATTATTATTATTATTATTATTATTATTATTGTAGCTGCTCCATCAACACATACACATCTCCATCCTTGTTAAAGAGGCCCACATAAGGACATGTTCTGTTTGACTGTGGTGCAAACAGAGACAACATAAGAACATAAGTTGTAAGACTAGGTCAAACATAAAATGATAATAAAAAGACAGTATTTTAAAGAAACTATTAAGCATTAAAAAATAACAAAGACAAGTATGAAAACCACATTTAAATATACAAAAATATGGCAAAATATTATATTTTAAAAAGTAGGGCTGTGCAGACATGTGCAAAATATATTCAGAGAGCTGAGCATGAACATGAAACACAGTATTAAGAAATAACATGTTCTTCCCATGATGTGCATTAATGTAATGCTTAATAATGTGGGGGGGTTAAAAGTTAGTGACAGTGCATGGAAGGGGGGGGTGCTGCATCCCCTCCTTCCCGCGTCCATGCCCTGTCACCATCTGCTGGCGGAGAGTTGTAACTGCAACGCCAAAAAGTTCACTAAACAAGTCAATACAAAAGTTTTATTTTTGAGTGAGCATGTTAGTGTAAGCAGTCTATAAAAAGCTTCACTATATAAGAGAAAGTGATAATGCGGTTCTTCTGTTGCTCTGCTCTAGAAAAGAAGCTCGTCAGTGCAGACAAGATCAGGGATGAGAGTTTTGTGAAAGGAGGATTTAAGAACTGGCGAAAGGCAGGGGAAACATTTAGGGAGCATGAGAAGTCCCGTCAACAAACTGGCAGCATTACAACGAACACCGATGCTCTCACAAGCTGTAGCTAAAGACAAAATGACTGCATTTTAAACGTGGATTCATCTTCTTATTATAGACACATGCATTTCCAAACATTTGGTCTACCTATGCTGTAAATGTATTATCTCTTTGATTTACACACGGCATCTATTGCACGTCTGTCCGTCCTGGGAGAGGGATCCCTCCTCTGTTGCTCTCCCTGAGGTTTCTCCCATGTTCCTTTAAACTGTGGGGTTTCTCTGGAAGTGTTTCCTTGTACGATGTGAGGGTCTAAGGACAGAGGGGGTCGTATTCTCATACTGATATTCTGAACAAACTGTGCTGTTGTATTTGCTGCAAAGTGTATTTACTGTAGGGTATTTTTATTATATGTACAGCACTAAAAAATCGTTTAAAAATGTGCTATATAAATAAAACTTGATTTGATTTTGCTGTCATTTTGTACCCAACTGACAGTTTAACGGCCTTCATGCAGTGCTCTTTGAATGTGAATTTCAAGTGCTTTTATTCATTATAATGAACCATTTCACTGCTTTCAGCACCTTTACTTATTATTTGATAATTCTTTTCATTCATTTTTTGTACAGAGCAATTTGCTGAGTCAGACTACCACAGACTGGCCACGCAGAAGTTGAAGGCATGTCCCGTTGCCATGGAATCGCTTGGAGCCCCGCCTTTAAAAATCCACAACATTCACCTAACTGACAGAGACAACTGCATAGGTCAGAGCACTGCAAAGGTACAACTTTCTTAAACTGTAAGGTGGTTAACAAAGCTCTTTTTAACAATAATTATATTTTCAGAAAAGGTCCAGTTATTAATGCAACCTCTGGCAATAATCACGTTTAACATTAGCGAGTTCCGAAGAATGAATTATAATTCGTCAGCGTAGGTCAATCACTGTTTTGACGATCATTTCATTCTATGGATTGTCAAATCAGCTGGTCATGAGAAAATATGATTGCTAGCGCTATATTATAGATAGATAGATTCGAAGGCTTTATTGTCATGTGCACAGCAGCTTCAGTGTAGATATGCAATGAAACTCTTAAAGGTGGGGTAGGTAAGTTTCATATTCCATGGAATGCTCTTAACATCCCGATAGCAATGAATATATGAAATGCTTTGACAATAAATCCATAAAGAAATATCATCTGTGGAAGCTGTAGTACTGTAAAAAGCACGACCAATCATCTGAGCCGGCCCGGCTAAAATAACTGGATGGCCTACCTGCCTGTCAGCCTTCCATCTGTGCACAAACTTATCTCGTGCCCTCATTGGTCATGTGCGCGTTCGTGTGTGTTGGAGGAGGGGCTCTGTGAGGAAGTGGCAGATTTGTTCCAGCTGTGTATTTTCAAATCCTAGCGCACTCGAGCTGGTTTCTCCAAAATGACCTACCCCACCTTTAAGTCACAGGCCCCTCCAACAGTGCAACATAACATGCAATATAACATATATATATATATATATATATATATATATATATATATATATATATATATATATATATATATATATATATATGAACATGAACATTCAGAATAGTTTTTCCCAAGCTACTGTGGCAGGTTGTGCATGCTGCTGCTTGACGGCAATCCTGTTTATTTCAGAAAGCAAAATTGTGATTATTATTAGACTTATTGTACTGCCCTAGTTACTGTTATAGCAGTTTCTCTTTTTAACACGTTCACTGTGAGCTCATCAATTATGTCGTTGCTCATGGGCCAGCAAACTAGTTTTCAAACTGGGGTTTAATCCAAGTGGGAGTTATCTTTAAGTCCAGAAGGTGAGGTTGGTTTGGGATTCAAATGGTGGGCAGCTGTACTTCCACTCATGTAGTGCAAAGCTCTGCTGTCTGTCTACACTGCAGATTAGAATTAGCATTGTGTTGTGTTGCAGATAAAGATCCCTGTGACTGGTCCACAAACTGGAGGTTATCTGTATACTTGTTCAACAAGAGACCTCGATACCAACAGGTTGGTACATTCTGTATTCTGAGATGCACATTTTGTTGACAATTATTATTCTTTATTCTTGACCACAACTCCATGCAAATGTACAGTGCATCTTCTATATACATTGCATATGGAAGATGAAAATAAATACACATATGCACAGGACCCATACACAGTAGGTCTGAATACACACATGCACAATAGAAGCAGCATGGTACAATAACATCCATGTCAGCAGTGCAAAGCAAGCTGTTGGTATTCTGAGGGAAATGGGTGCAAACATTAATTTAGTGATCCCTTCAACCAAGGCAAATGCATGCATTAAGCATATTTCCAGCTGAATAAACAAATATTTAACGTGTAAAAGCAGGACCATTAGTAAATGAATCTGCAATGTCTTCAACATTTTTAAATGAATGTCATTATTTCCTACACTCGCCGTCTGAAGTCCACCACCAGCTCCTTGGTCTTCCCTGCGTGGAGCTGGAGGGTTCCTCTGGCACCAGAGGGTGAAGTCCTGCGTCAGCTCCCTGTACTCCCTGTCGCCTGTCGTTATGATTTGATTTAGGATTTTTGAATGGGAGAAGTTGTAGAAAACATACCAAACACTAATTATTCAAAGCAGAGTATTTCATTTTATATCAAAAGTGATTTGTTTTCCATGTCATTCGTGTATTTTTGTTATCAGAAAGTGAAGTTATTTATTTCTAAGCTCCAAATCCACATTTTTCCCTCAATGGCCTTTGTGCCCTAAAGAAACGTGTGACACCAAAGGCCGAATGCCCTTGCCCCTAAAATGACGAAATTCCAAGCCTGGTTAGCACCAAGCGGTACATCAGCGATAGCGGACATGATTTCAGTCTTACTTTTATGGTCCTTAAATACCGTCTCGGGCCACTGCGGTCATCGCTTCTTTCACCATCCCTCCATCGGTGAATGGCTTTTTGTGCTTAGCTAAGATGTGCGCCACTTAAAATGATGCCTCCGTTGCCGCGTTGGCCTCCTTCGTCGGTTGGGTGAATAAACACTGCTGTTTTTTTAAGTGTTGCTATCCCACTGTGGCATAATCTGTTTTCTACCGGCGTATTGTTCATTCTGATTCTACTTGTGATAGACGGACATCTAGCCCATGTATTGATTCCATCCGATAGCTGCTATAATAAAACACAACAGGAACACTTCTGCCTGCTCTCCATAATGATCAATAACAGTGAACGGATGGTCATTAAAGTAAGGTCAAAATAAACAGAATCACACGAAGCCTGGTTAGTGTTGCCTGACTTTATAAAGTGTGTTTTTTTTTTTATAAGTGTGGTCACGTTATAGTCACTTTGCTCAGCGCTACTGCTTGTTACAGCTTTAATTTGCCGTACTCGCCATGAACTGTTATTGTTCAGGTTAACCTCGCCCCCCTCCGACGTAAGCGTGAAGTATTGGTTCTTGTTTCTTGCCGGCAGTCGAGTGGGGCTACCGGTACCGGTTTGGTGGAAAAGGGGCAACAGAGAAAGTACTTTTACTACTGTATCGTATTATTTCCGATGGCTTTATTGTATGATCACTATGACAGATGAACAGATGGCCACACTTCATCTAAACACACAGCCACGCGAAAAACTGCGACATGTGTTCGGCCCCTTATGCGTACTGCAATTTTTGAAATCCCGGAGCAGCGTTCCGGCGCGCTCCGGCAGCACTAACTACACCCCTGATAATAACACATTGCCAAACATTATCTGAGCACTAACTCCCATGTGTGCCCGTTATCCAATGCAAATCAGTTCTGGACCAGACTTCAGATCTGATGACACAAACAACAGGTTTACTCAGCAACTGCTCGACTAAAACAGACTCAACTCCCATATCTTTCTTGTACTATTTCTTTGAAGGTCAAAGCGTACATCACATGATGCTTTGTGTGCAACATTTCTGTTTGTATCCTTTCATACAGGTGGAGTCTAAAGCAGGCCGTTCTGAAACTGAAGGAAGGACAGACCATTGACCTGCTGAACCCTCCTGCAGCACAGAGCTTTGACACAGAGCTGTGATATATATATACAGAATTGCGATTCAGAGTATCACTGTGTGATACAGCGAACACACCCAGGCACTGACCAGCTGTCTAATGCCAACCGTGTTGTCTGGTCTAACTAACAGTAAGAAGATGGAGGAATATTAAACCAAATAGCAGATCTTTTGAAGGGAGCAGTCACACGAGGCAAATGTCTTTGAACGTCACAGCTTCTCACAGACTGATCTGGATTTGTTGATATTTTGTATTAAATAATGTGATGAAGGCTTTTTCTTTGTTATACTGATGCTGGCGTCATTTTGATTTCACAGGATAATGGCTTTAGAATCAGAACATTTAGCACACAGTGCTCCAAGTGGGCCGGTAGCATCTTTGCTGCTATTATGGAATGCCTGCAATGAACCAGAGGAAAAAATAAATATGGCACTTCCACATTTTTTCAACACTGCTTTACCCACTGCTTCACATCGGGTACTTAAAGCTGCATGCGCATTACGTTAGCGCTCAGGTGCTTACATTAGCGTACCTAAACAACCTAAACTCCATCCTCTGCTATTGTCGGTTTGATGAGAGGGACATCAAACAGCTGTGTGATAAGCTTCTGTTATGTGTGCGGGACCTTGTCTCAATTAACAAAGCTGCAACAGCTGCAAAGGCAACATGCTAACACATAGCTAAAGACCCCTGAACCCAGAGTGATGATGTTGAGTGTGTGCCGACTCCGAACACGCAGCATGACACATATAACAATTACTATTGCAATAAGGAAGACATAACACAAGTTAATATCGGTGAGAATTCTAGTTGTTGCAGTCGTGGCGTCCTCTGGCCTGCCAATGTTCTTTCTGTAGCCCCGGACAATTCTCCCTCATACGCCGTGCTTTACCTGAACCTCATCATGACTCTAGAGAGGACGGCAGGATTGTAATTTCCCGTGTTCAGTGAATGCAATTATTATGTAAAAGATTATTTCCAAGGCTCACCTTCATATGATCATTATAGTTATACAAGAAATAAGAGAATGAATGAGAAACAGTTATGAAATACTATATGACAGTAAAACAAGAATACAGTTTAAAAGGGGAGTGATTTGTAAAATCAAAAAGACATATTGATGGTGTGGTATTTCCAAGTTGAGAACAAGAACAATACTGTGTGTGTGTGTGTGTGTCCCAATCCCAAACCACGCCCTACACACTCCCCCTCCGTGGAGTGACTCTCAGCTCAACGAGGCTCCCTCCTGTCAGATGGAGGGAGTAAATACAGCGGCAAGCTTTGGGACAAACTCCCCTCTCTCCGGCAGAAACAGGAAATGCCGTTACTGAATGTAACAACGGTTTCAAATCAGCATCTCTTAGACAAAACATTAAAATGAATAACTAAAATAAAACTCCAAACATCTTTCATTGTGTTTTTTGTGAAGCTCTTTTAATTTTAAACCTGATGTTTATAAGCTTCTTAGTTTTTGCAACAGTCTGTAAATAAACACAACTTTATAATAAAATGCACACATTTACCTTTTTCCAGACTAAACACAGGTAAGTTAAAAAAAACATGAGGTTATCATCTGGATGTTTGCTGGAACTGTTTGTAAACAGCGTGTTTCCTGACGGACACACTCAGCGTTGAGTCCAGTCAGGTAGTGACCGGGAAGGTTTCTAATTTCTCTAATTCCCCTCCTCGACTCCCCTCCTCGACTCCTATCCTCGTGAGTTAGTCCCGCCCACAGGAGATGCGAGCGGAGGAGCCGAGGAGGGGAACCGAGGAGAGAGGAGGGGAAGCAGCAGGCGGTTAGAGAAATGAGAACTCCTCTCCTCTGAGCGGTCATTTTAAAGAGACGTCCATTAATGATGACAGGAGGCACAGCAGCCCTCTGTCTGATGGACAGATGTGTTCATGACCACTTATATATATACTTTAATTCATTCACAGTGCGGTATAATGAGACAATAACAGGCTACAGATGCGAACACACATGACACATATATTTATATAAATATATACAATTTCAGAATCAAACAAGTATGAGAGCACTCTCATAATAACGTAACACAATCAGAGACTGGATATATCCACCCCCCCCTGAGAAATGAGATGTCCTTCAACATGGCACGCTGAAATCCATTTCCGGGTCACTACTGGAGGACCGAGGATTCGAGCAGTCGAGGAGGGGAAATTAGAGAAATGAGAAACCTTCCGGGTTGCAGTCGAATAGTCCAAAAATCAGCTCCTAAGTTTATCGTCTATTCCTTGACCTCTGAGTGAAACGTCATGGGGTTAAGGGATAGTGGATAGGAGAATTCAAAAGGACTTAGGAGAAGAGACTGCGGTACTTTAGAGAATCCGACTGCACTTTCACTATCCCACGTGTTTATGATGCGCCAGCGGAGGTCATAAATGTTGACTTTATTTGATCATTTCAGTAAAAACTAACGTTCATATTTCTCTTTTTGATTATAATACTGATGAACGTTCAAAACAAAGCACTTTGGCAACTTACCACATACGTTTTAAAATGCACCGTAACTTTCATGATATCATTTCTCGGTCATAATCGGTTGTTTCCGTGAACGGCCGATTGTTGTGTGACGGCAAATGCTGCGGCCGCAAGGCATTGTGGGGCAGCATTTTCTCCTCTCCTTTAGGTTAGGGAGGTCCAGTGGTTCCTAAGCTAAAGGAGGTTATAAAGGAAGTTTGAAACCTCCTTTCCTTTTAATTTAGAGAATTGGAACGGCACTTCATCATGGCTGCCACTGAGGGACTTCCGGGTCATTTCACTCCGTTAGGAAGGTTCCTAAGCTAAATGGACTATTCGACCGCAACCCTGGTTTTTAGTTCAGAGTGTCCTTCTCCTAGATGGGTTGCCTTCCATGGCTATGAGCCCCATCTGCCCCTGCTATTTTTGCCCATAGCTGGGGAGCAGTTTAGGGAACGGTGCCTTGCTCAGGGACACCTCGGTAGCACTTGGCCCCTGGTGACCTTCCAGTTGCCAAGCCAAGTCCCTATGGACTTCGCCACCACCGCCCAAAAGGTGGTTTAATTGTAGCTGGTAAGTAGTTGCAAGTAAGCTGTAGTCTATGGTGGTAGGCTAGTGCAGTAGTGTGAGTGTATTTTGTTTGTGTTAAGTATGGCCAAACCACATCACGGATTATTTCTGAAAACAGTATGGAGCTCAAATACTTTTTTTCTCTCAGGTTTACCACAAGGTGAGTTCCTGCTTCTTTACACATGCTCTCTCCAGTACAGATTAGCTCTGAGTGTTAGCGATGAGAGGAAAAGAGAGAGGGTTTTGTTTTCTGACACTTTGTGAGTCTCCTGACACATGGGACACCTTTTTGTGTATCAAAGACATCAAACAGTGCATTTTGCATGATAGGTCCCCTTTAATGTTCAAAAAGCTCTTTATTCTTCTCAGACTGCCTGTGCTGCAGCACCTCTGAAACCAGAGCCCAGTCTGCTCTGATTGGTCAGCTGGCCGGCTCTGTTGTGATTGGTCGACCGCTTAGAGATGTCTATACAAACTAATAAAAGCTGCGTATTGTTCACTTCCACCTGTTGCTTCATTCTTTGAGAAAAAGGAGAGCAGGTATAAAAGGTGCAGTTGTTCCCAAGCAGGAAATAACCTGCTGAGTCTCCTTTAAAGGAGGCGGGGAGCCGGGAGTTGGGTTTCAGTGCCACCCCTTTTTTTATCCTCACACACACTCACACACACACACACACACACACACACACACACACAGTGCCTCATGCTTTAAAGGCTCACTATGAACCAGACTGCCTGTAATGCAGGATCACAATGCCACTCTCACACAGACACACACACACACACACACACACACACACACACACACACACACACACACACACACACACACACACACACACACACACACACCTGGGGAACTTCCAGTGTCCGCACTTTCACTAAAGGTCGTTGACCTCTGATTTATCAGTTTTTTCTCAATGGATCTGAACTTGGATTAGCGTTTTTTGTATTTATCATAAAGTGAGGATGGCCCAGGTGTACAGACTGTATGCAGGGGTACTGACAGGTAAGATGTTCACTTCTCATAACAGAATCACATAATCCTTAAACAGACATGTTAAAGTCACGTTTACATATAATTCATATATTCAACATGTGCTTTTCGTGATAATTGTCATCAATATTCTCAATTCAACAGAAGATATAAGCCCCATAACTCGACATAAACTGTTGAATAACGTGTATATAACGTTATATCTATTTGATATGCTTTGTATGTTGTTGTTTTGAGTTTTTAGACACAATTCAACCATGGTAGATATTAAAGTGTGTATTTAAACACATGCAAAGTGTTAAAAAGTGCCTGTTTTGCATTTGTTTTGACTGTTGCCGCACTTTTTCATCATCCATGTGCCTTCAGAGTAAAGCAGGTCAGAAGACAGTGCTTTTCCTTTGAGCTATATTTAGACTTTTGAGTTGGTTAATGATTGAGTAAATACACCTGCAATATTTCCACTCTCATTAGTCACTGTCAAACAGGCTTCCCTAATGTGGACTCAATCATACACGTCTGTGGTTAATGTTAAGTGTGTGTGTGTGTGTGTGTGTGTGTGTGTGTGTGTGTGTGTGTGTGTGTGTGTGTGTGTGTGTGTGTGTGTGTGTGTGTGTGTGTGGTGTGCGTGTGTGTCAGAGTTGCCTGTTTGTGTCAATAAAGATAATTTAAACCACCTTCATTGTGACAAAAAAACTGGTTTTGCTCTAAGTGAGACTATTAGCTGAGGCTTGTTGACTGTGTGTGTGTGTGTGTGTGTGTGTGTGTGTGTGTGTGTGTGTGTGTGTGTGGTGTGTGTGTGTGTGTGTGTGTGTGTGTGTGTGTGTGTGTGTGTGTGTGTGTGTGTGTATGTGTGTGTGTGTGTGTGTGTGTGCGTGTGTGAGTGTGTGAGAGAGAGAGAGAGAGTGTGAGAGAGAGAGTGAGAGTGAGAGATCTCCTACCTTTTAAGGCCAACTGGAGTCATGACTCTGCATCTTTTCTTCAGTAACTTTAATTGTGATCATGTGTTTTCTTTGGCATCTCCTTTGTAGATTCCTATAAACAGCGCAAAAAAAACAAAATGTCTACCTAATAGTATCCAGAAGTTAGTTCAAATGAGAGAGACTAAACACTATCCGAGAGGAATCTGGATGTTTAAGATGAATAGTCAAAGAAGTTAATTTACAGAACAGCTGTAGTGAGGAAATTAAACATGTAACAAGTAACACACATATTACAATGGGAAATAAATAGATGATTTGAGAGGATATAACCTGTACATTATAGAAGTACTCAGATCTTGTCCTTGAGTAAAAGTAGAAGTACTCAGATCTTGTACTTGAGTCAAAGTAGAAGTACTCAGATCTTGTACTTGAGTATAAGTAGAAGTACTCAGATCTTGTACTTGAGTAAAAGTAGAAGTACTCAGATCTTGTACTTGAGTAACAGTAGAAGTACTCAGATCTTGTTCTTGAGTAAAAGTAGAAGTACTCAGATCTTGTACTTGAGTCAAAGTAGAAGTACTCAGATCTTGTTCTTGAGTAAAGTAGTCAGATCTGTTCTTGAGTAAGGTAAATCTTGAGTCAAAGTAGAAGTACTCAGATCTTGTACTTGAGTATAAGTAGAAGTACTCAGATCTTGTACTTGAGTAAAAGTAGAAGAAGTACTCAGATCTTGTACTTGAGTAACAGTAGAAGTACTCAGATCTTGTTCTTGAGTAAAAGTAGAAGTACTCAGATCTTGTACTTGAGTCAAAGTAGAAGTACTCAGATCTTGTTCTTGAGTAAAAGTAGAAGTACTCAGATCTTGTACTTGAGTCAAAGTAGAAGTACTCAGATCTTGTTCTTGAGTAAAAGTAGAAGTATTCAGATCTTGTTCTTGAGTAAAAGTAGAAGTACTCAGATCTTGTACTTGAGTAAAAATAGAAGTACTCAGATCTTGAGTCAAAATAGAAGTACTCAGATCTTGAGTCAAAGTAGAAGTATTCAGATCTTGTTCTTGAGTAAAAGTAGAAGTACTCAGATCTTGTACTTGAGTAAAAGTAGAAGTACTCAGATCTTGTACTTGAGTCAAAGTAGAAGTACTCAGATCTTGTTCTTGAGTAAAAGTAGAAGTATTCAGATCTTGTTCTTGAGTAAAAGTAGAAGTACTCAGATCTTGTACTTGAGTAAAAGTAGAAGTACTCAGATCTTGAGTCAAAGTAGAAGTACTCAGATCTTGTACTTGAGTAAAAGTAGAAGTACTCAGATCTTGTTCTTGAGTAAAAGTAGAAGTACTCAGATCTTGTACTTGAGTAAAAGTAGAAGTACTCAGATCTTGAGGAAAAGTAGAAGTACTCAGATCTTGTACTTGAGTAAAAGTAGAAGTACTCAGATCTTGAGGAAAAGTAGAAGTACTCAGATATTGTACTTGAGTAAAAGTAGAAGTATTCAGATCTTGTACTTGAGTAAAAGTAGAAGTACTCAGATCTTGTACTTGAGTAAAAGTAGAAGTACTCAGATCTTGTTCTTGAGTAAAAGTAGAAGTACTCAGATCTTGTACTTGAGTAAAAGTAGAAGTACTCAGATCGTGTACTTGAGTAAAAGTAGAAGTACTCAGATCTTGTACTCGAGTAAAAGTAGAAGTACCAGAGTGTAGGAATACTCTGTTACAGTAAAAGTCCTGCATTCAAAATGTTCCTCAAGTAAAAGTAGAAAAGTATTCTCATCAAAATATAGTGAAAGTAGCGACAGTAAAAGTAGTCATTGTGCAGATTGGTCCATTTCAGAATAATATATATGATATGTTTTATAATGATTGATCATGAAAGTGTTCTCAAAGCTGGTAAAGGTGCAGCTAGTTTGAATGACTTTGTATACTGCAGGGTAGCTTGTGAATTTACTCGTAAAATGGAAATACTCAAGCACCTCAAAATCATACTTAAGTACTTGAGTAAATGTACCTAGTGAATGATGTCTAGGAAGCAGTGGTGTTTAAGTCTAGGGCTTTTATTGTGAAAGGGAGATTTTGAACCTGAAAGGAGACAGTAATGCTTTGTAAACACTGATTGTGTCATTTCTCTGCACACATTACATTGTGCATTCAATGTTTACTTTACATTGCTAAGTTGAGGGAGAAATGTTATCTATTCCCACTTTAAGTGTATAACAATATATCAAAAAGGGGTAGAAACTCCTACTTCCTTCTCCCTATCGTATATAAAATACTTAGTTATAATATTTATTGCATTTTCCCTGTATATTTTGTCTGGGTATTCTTGAAATGAAAAAAGAGGAAAACTACTACTTTATGTGGACACAAATTGGTTAAAAAACATTGTGCATGTGCATATATTTGCAAGTGTTTTTGTTGTGGGTGTTTACCTGTGTTTGTGTGTTTGTCTGCAGCTCTGGCTTTGTGCAAATACTCTCTGGCCGGCAGTCATGTGACCGAAGCGTCTGCCAATCAAACCGTGTCAATCGGACACGGAGACAACGGCACAGGTAGATATGGACAGGTGGGAAAGGGGGGCTTCAACTGGGCCATAAAGGAGTTTGGATGTTTTCCATATTCTCTCAAAAGCTCGTTATAGAAATGATGGGCCTCCTTCAGCTTCTTCGTAAACATCAGGCAGGCTTGTAGTTTAAATCCTTAAAATGTTAGTCTTTTTTGTATGTATTACCTGCATCAAAATGACTGCTTTATCAAAATCAACTTCAAGTGAATAGTTCCTCGTCTTCAGATATATGCTTTGCTTTCTTGAATATTGAAACCACTTATTTCTGTACCAATTTAATCAGAGTTAGGGTTTATTATGTTTACACATACAAGGAATTGTTCTGGTTTTTGCATAAACACAGTAGGACGAATAAGGTTGTAAAAAATATGCAAATATTGTTACAAAAATGTTTTAAAATTGTTATAAATGCGCAAAAATATACGTAAAATTACAATAAAAAATACAGTTTGTGCAGTATACCAAAATGTAAGTGAAAAACATGTATATATACACAGCGTCTATGAAACCATAGCAGGTTAGCTTAGCTTAGCTTGGCTGAAAAAATGGAAATGGGGGTTGTTCACCACTGTTCTCCTTTCAACAAATACAAAATATGTGATTTTTACGCTATGTTTCTCGTACAAATTAAACAAATTAGACGGAAAATGTTAATTAATTTGATGTTAAGGTGCTGGTAATTCCCTTTCACATCCAACGTCTGGCTTTAGCTTGAACAAAACAAGCCATCAACTGCTTCCTATTTCCCAAACTATCCCTTCAAACTTTGTAACTTGATATTTTTCTTTTCAACACGGAGCTAACGGCTGCAAGCCTGATCTCGTGTTTCAGTTTCTATTGAAGCGCTTTCATTGAAGTCTCCAGAGCAGCAGTATTACTTTACGAGCTCGTATTCACAGATAATGGGCCGTGCAGTAAAGGCAGCGGCAGCTTGTAGTATAACGAGCATTATGTGTAACTTCAGGGGTCAGAAGTTCAGCGTTTTGGTCGACTAGCAGCTGTGTTAGGGAGTGTTTGGTGGAGGAGAAACAGAATGGGAATGAGTGTAACTTTATCCACCATGTGTTCAGTTGAGTTGGTAATGTAATGATTGCGACACGTGGTTAAAAAGACCCGGTGACACTTCCAGCAATGATTCATCACTCCTCTCTGGATCAAATTGCAAACTATTTATGCCGTGCCAGGAGGTGAGGGTGTAAGTCAAAAGGAGAAGCTGACAGAACGTTACAGAAATAGCTCGGCTTTTTAAAACAACTCTCTGGTGTTCTTCATGAGTTAGTGTGGGGTCTAAAGGGAGAGGACTTGTGAATTACAACATATTTCCTGCATTTCTACACCACCTATATATTGGATTAACCCTCCACTACATCCCAAAACAATGAAATCAACAATGCTAATGCTAAATAATAAGATGTTGATCTTTAGAAAGCAAAAGAGTCGTCTTGTTGCTACAGTTTGTCCGATCTCCGCCGCCAATTCATGTCGAATTTGGAAGCTAACGTTGGCTGGCTAAATTAGCTAACGTTGACTCGAAGATTTGTCGGGTATTTCACCAAATGTACTTTCTACTTTCTTGCTACGGTTTGTTCACAAACGTCTGATTTCCACCGCCAAATCCTGTCCAATTAGGAAGCTAACGTTAGCTGGCAAAGTTACTTGTAAATCAATTTGGTATTTCACCAACAGTACTCTCTACTTTAAGCTAACTTAAGCTAGCTCTTTAAGCTAATGAACGAGCTAACAAGCAGTTTCTTTTGTCATTAACTAGCCTGTCTTTTAGGGTTAGGGTTATTTGTTCTATTTTAAGTCCATGATTAAGCAGTTCAACTAAATGTTTCTTACCTTTGTAAACTGTCAGATTCCCATCGGAAATGACAGACTTTCATTGACCTCTAAAGCAGATTTTAGCTAACAATCAGCGGCTGTTTTTTTTCCTGTTTTCCTTGCTTTAACAGTAGGAGAGTCTACTTTAAGCTGACTTAAGCTAGCTCTTTATGCTAACTCCAACTAACCAACCATGTTATTTTAACATTAACTAGTCTGTCTTATGTTCTGTTATCAGTCCATGATTAAGCAGTTGTCTAGATGGTTCTTAACATTGTAAACTACATCTTTCATTGAAGCAATTTAGCTAACAGTGATACTTTCTTCGCTTTTTCGAGTACTTCACTTTTCCATTTTTTAGGTTTAAGAAAGCAGACATGCAAATTACAAAACATATGAAAGCATGATTCCAAGGTTTGGGGGAAAAAAAGTTGGGATTTTGATTTAACTTTTGCTGAAAATAGCAATAATGATCACTGATATACCAACCCAGTCTCACGGCATTTCGTGTTATTAGTCACGAAATTAATTTAATCTATTGATTCGTGTTCACCAACACGATTTTCGCATTTTTTTCGTGTCACACAGAACGATTTTAAAAGCAATGTATTTCTATTGGTAGTATGTTTCGTGCCTGCAACACGTCTTTTTGTCCGGTCGGGTCTTGGAAGACCAGAAGCTGTGTGGTTCATAGAAACATTTTCTTACTCAATATCTTACCCTAAGCCTAACCCTATCCCTTTTATTTTAAATTGTATAATGTCGGAGTTTTTTTGCCGTCCTTGAGGAAAAGAAATGGCTCAGAGCCTCAGAATACAGAAATCTGTATTTTTTTAAATATTTCTTTCCTTCTAATTTGTTATTATTTGGTGCAGGCACGAAACACACTACCAATATAAATACATTTCTTCTAAAATCGTTCTGTGTGACACGAAAAAAATGGGGAAATCGTGTTGATGAACACGAATCAATAGATTAAATGTCGTGACTATAACACGAAATGCCGCGAGACTGTGTCGGATATACTGATAATTATACTCAGTTGATTATGGGGACTGTATGATGATACGATGTGTTTAATAAGTCAAAAAGTTGGTTAGCAAACGTACAACTTTGCTCCCCCAAATGTAATAAAAACAATGTATTTGGGCGCATAATCTCCAAATTTCAACAGATGGTGAAAAGCTGGTGAACACAATCATCCTGAAACTCATTTTAAAGGTTATCATCTTATTTCTCCAGAAAGCACGACAGATACAGGGCAGTGGACCGGACACTTCTCAAAATGTCCCGAGGCTTTAACAAACTACTGCATCCACGGGGAGTGCCGTTACATTAAAGAACAGAATGCACCGTCCTGCAGGTAAGACGCTGCAAAAACACGGATAAAAGAGCAGAAATGGCAAAAGTACACACATCCTTTCCTCAAGTAGAAGTACAGATACTCGTGTTTAAAAGTACTCTGGTGAAAGTAGAAGTACTGACTAAACTTCTTTACTCAAGTCAAAGTAAAGAGGGCTTTGAAATGTACTTCAGTAAAAAGTATGAAGTAGAAAGTACAGGTATTTGTGTTCAACATGTAAGAAGTAGAAAGTACAGGTATTTGTGTTCAACATGTAAGAAGTAGAAAGTACAGGTATTTGTATTCAACATGTAAGAAGTAGAAAGTACAGGTATTTGTGTTCAAAATGTAAGAAGTAGAAAGTACAGGTATTTGTGTTCAACATGTAAGAAGTAGAAAGTACAGGTATTTGTGTTCAACATGTAAGAAGTAGAAAGTACAGGTATTTGGGTTCAACATGTAAGAAGTAGAAAGTACAGGTATTTGTGTTCAAAATGTAAGAAGTAGAAAGTACAGGTATTTGTGTTCAACATGTAAGAAGTAGAAAGTACAGGTATTTGGGTTCAAAATGTAAGAAGTAGAAAGTACAGGTATTTGTGTTCAACATGTAAGAAGTAGAAAGTACAGGTATTTGTGTTCAACATGTAAGAAGTAGAAAGTACAGGTATTTGGGTTCAAAATGTAAGAAGTAGAAAGTACAGGTATTTGGGTTCAACATGTAAGAAGTAGAAAGTACAGGTATTTGGGTTCAACATGTAAGAAGTAGAAAGTACAGGTATTTGTGTTCAACATGTAAGAAGTAGAAAGTACAGGTATTTGGGTTCAACATGTAAGAAGTAGAAAGTACAGGTATTTGTGTTCAAAATGTAAGAAGTCAAAGTAAAAAGTCGTCAGAAAAATAAGTAGTGGAGTAAAGTACTGATACCAGAAAAATGTACTTAAGTACGGTAACAAAGTATTTGTACTCCACTACTTCCCACCCCTGTAAAAGAGGCAGTAGTGTTTCTTTATTGTCTGTTATATCAAAACAGTGAAAGTATTTGTTTTTTTCTCAGGTGTCAGCATGGCTACATCGGCTCCAGATGTGAATATCTGGACTTGGATTGGCGGATAGGAGAGAAACGACAAATAATAATCGCCTGCGTCATCGCGGGGCTCGTTTTCCTGATTCTTCTCATCGTATTCATCTGTATTTGTTCACAGTAAGTTCCTGTGTTGTTCTACATAAAATAATGGTGGGAAAATATGTCTTTTTTGGGCAAGTTAGAAGCTTTTGAAAGAAGTATCTAGAGCCAGGAGACGCTTAGCTTAGCATTAAGACGAGGACGTTTTTTATTTTACACAAGCTTTGACATTTTAACACTTCGCATATTTTCTACGCATTATTCCACGGCATCAAACTACTCATCTGACCTTCGTGATAAAGTGACTAAACTTATTTCCCAGCAGTGTTACTTGTTCATTAAGTATCTTTCATTGGGTTAAGACCTTACCATGTTTGCAGGTTTTTCCTTATGAAATAGTAATTTTCTGCAGTGCTGAAAATCATCACACTCTTGAAAGTGTGTTTGTCGCGCAATCAAATTGATCTTAAACACTATGGTAGGGGATATAAGCCCATAAATACCAATAAAATACAAAAACTAGTTTGTATTTTATTAAAAACAGCAATACAAACCATTATATATTAAAAGAAACGTAAACGTTGTTAGGAGAAGTTAGCGTTACTCTGATACAAGTCATTTTAAGCTTTTACAAAGTACATTTTTTGTATAAATTCTACTTAAATTGAGTAAAACCTTTTTTTAAATATATAACATTTGGTTCCAATTTAAACACAGTACAGTACAGAGTTCCCTTTTCAGAGTTATTTCTTCTCTACTCAGTGTTCATATTCAACTCTGCATGATGATTAACACTGTATAGCATTCAATTAGATCAACTTCACTGCTATTTTACTCAATATGGATAGCAATTCTTTTTTAGCATGGTTAATTTCTGCTGTATTTAAACGCTAACTCATTTTGTCTTTCCCTCAGTCGGAGGTGCCGGTTGTGTTGGCGGTATTCTGATATATATACAAAAAAACATAGTTGTTAGGAGAAGCTAGCTTGAGTCATTTTAAGCTTTTACAAAGTATTTTTTGGTGTAAATTCTACTTAAATTGAGTAAAACTTTATTTTAAATAAATAACATTTGGTTCCAATCTAAACAGAGTAACACGCACTCCAAGTTCAAAGTTATTTCTACTCTATTCAGTGTTTATATTCAACTCTGCATGATGATTTACACTATCTAGCCCCTTTACTGCTATTTTACGTAAATTAGCATCATATTTGACTCAATATGGATAGCTTATTTTATTCCTGCATGGTTCATTTTCAGCTGTATTTAAACGCTAACGTGTTTCTCTTTCCGTCAGTCGGAGGTGCCGGTTGTGTTGGAGGAGACGAAGACGGAGAGAGGAACCGAGGAACGGCTCGGAGAAGCTCAGCATGATGGAGACACACACACCGTTAGCATCAGAATCAGAGCCAACACACACCAACGCTGTGTGAAGAGTGTGTGTGAGACCACCAGTCTGCGAAGTGTTTACAATGGAGGGATTTCTGTTCTTCATGTGACAGCTGCTGCCTTTTGTCTCACGGTGACATCATTTTTCCGGATGAAGATCAAGCAGCAGCACGGGAGTTTTGCACCCTTCTCTTAAAAGGGCACGAGTGTCTGAAGCTGTGATGAAGCTCCAGTACAAAGAGGACGATGAACACGAGTTCGGAGAGTTCATGCGTGTTGGCAAGGACGTTTCTTTTCCAACGCTGTGGAGTAACAAGTGCTGCAGACTGAAGGGCGCTAAATCAGGTGTTGCTATGTTGGAAAAAGATGTCACAGCACCTGGCAGCCGGGGGATAACAGATGGTCAGGTTATTGTGCGATGTGGGAGACAATAAGCCCTGTTGGCATCGCACTATAATTACCTGGGGAGCTTTAGACATGTATAATTACTGCGAAGGTCTTCTGTGATTTAATCCCATGCTGATCGGCAATTTCCGTTGTTTGTCAACTAAAAACTCACCCATAATAGCTGTAACATTTCCCCAAACATGGACTTCATGTGATTACAGTAGCCTGAGAGACTGTTATCTAAATCTAACGAGCTAACAAGCTATATATCTAACTAGCTAACGTTAGCTTTGTGCTATGTGGGAGACAATAAGCAATGTTGGCATCCGACTAGTATTTCACAGGGAGCTTTAGGAATGTATAATTACTGCGAAGGTCTTCTGTGATTTAATCCCGTGCAAATCGGCCATTTCCGGTGTATGTATTTTACCTACTGCACTTCCCCAAACACGGGGATAACAATACGGTGTGAGCGAACTCTATCTAAAAAACTAGTGAATGTTTGCTATATATTTAACAATGTAGTTAACGTTTGCCAGTAAAAACTCACCCCATTTTACCTACTGAATTTCCCTAATCATGGACGTCATGTGATAAGATTTAGCAAACGTTAGCTATATATCTAACAAGCTAACTAGCTAACATTAGCTATATATCTAACAAGCTAACTAGCTAACGTTAGCTATATATCTAACAAGCTAACTAGCTAACGTTAGCTATATATCTAACAAGCTAACGTTAGCTATATATCTAACAAGCTAACTAGCTAACGTTAGCTATATATCTAACAAGCTAACTAGCCAACGTTCCCCATCTCCATGATTTGGTGTTGTATTTGATATTTTCCTTTGCAAGATTTATGTTTTATCCACCTCTTGCTCGGCCAAAAGGCTGCATTGGAAACTACAATGAAAGTAAAAAACGTTCCTGAATGGCTTGGTTTTCTGTGCACTTTTGATCAAATTGCTAATGGTACTGGGAACGATGGTTGCTAGCTAGCTAACTAAGAGCGGCTACCGTCACTTCTGGTTAGTGCACAGCTACCATATTTAATTTAAAGGTCACCTATTATGCAAAATCCACTTCTTCATGTCTCTTCTACATCAACATGTGTCCCCTCTTCTTCATATCTCTTCTTCATCAACATGTGTCCCCTCTTCTTCACGTCTCTTCTACATCAACATGTGTCCCCTCTTCTTCATGTCTCTTCTACATCAACATGTGTCCCCTCTTCTTCATGTCTCTTCTACATCAACATGTGTCCCCTCTTCTTCATGTCTCTTCTACATCAACATGCGTCCCCTCTTCTCCATGTCTCTTCTACATCAACATGTGTCCCCTCTTCTTCATGTCTCTTCTACATCAACATGTGTCCCCTCTTCTTCATGTCTCTTCTACATCAACATGTGTCCCCTCTTGTTCATGTCTCTTCTACATCAACATGTGTCCCCTCTTCTTCATGTCTCTTCTACATCAACATGTGTCCCCTCTTCTCCATGTCTCTTCTACATCAACATGTGTCCCCTCTTCTTCATGTCTCTTCTACATCAACATGTGTCCCCTCTTCTTCATGTCTCTTCTACATCAACATGTGTCCCCTCTTCTTCATGTCTCTTCTTCATCAACATGTGTCCCCTCTTCTTCATGTCTCTTCTACATCAACATGTGTCCCCTCTTCTTCATGTCTCTTCTACATCAACATGTGTCCCCTCTTCTTCATGTCTCTTCTTCATCAACATGTGTCCCCTCTTCTTCATGGATCTTCTTCATCAACATGTGTCCCCTCTTCCTCATGTCTCTTCTACATCAACATGTGTCCCCTCTTCTTCATGTCTCTTCTACATCAACATGTGTCCCCTCTTCTTCATGTCTCTTCTACATCAACATGTGTCCCCTCTTCTTCATGTCTCTTCTACATCAACATGTGTCCCCTCTTCTTCATGTCTCTTCTACATCAACATGTGTCCCCTCTTCTTCATGTCTCTTCTACATCAACATGTGTCCCCTCTTCTTCATGTCTCTTCTACATCAACATGTGTCCCCTCTTCTTCATGTCTCTTCTTCATCAACATGTGTCCCCTCTTCTTCATGTCTCTTCTACATCTGAAAGTTTCAGGAACAAAGATTCTCTCTCTTTTTGTCCTGATCCATTTTTATAAAAACCTGTCTGAAAATGAGCTGATCAGATTTTGGCCACTTTATGATGTCATAACATGTTTTGTATATATCTGAGACCTATAATATATTGATGAAAAACAGTATAATAGGGGACCTTTAAGACGAAACCAGTCATTCTAATCCATGTATTGCACAAGTGTTTACAGTGTATGACATGCAGTGTACTAAGGTATCCGAAATGAGACACAGCAATTTACATTTTCTAAATATTAGCCCCGTCTGTCTCCATATGAACTCATGGAATAGGTACTCATCAACATTAGCAATGCAAGAAGAGCCTTCTCTACTAAAAGCTGTCTGGACTTCAGGGTTAGAGGAGGACAAGGAGGACTTGTGCGGGAGGATTTCTGAATTTATATCTGAACCTGAGCTGCAGACGATGAACAGCCGAGTCTGTGTGTGGAGGAGAAAGTGCTTCACTGTACGAGACGCTTTCCAAATCTGCCAGCCTTTCACTGGCTTTTTAAAAAAGAAATGTGCATCTAAATGCAGAATAAAGAGGCAGTGAAGTCTGCTCCTGCTGTCACCTTTAAATAAATATGTCTACTGAATGTGTGCTGTAAACTATTTCCACAGATAAGATCAAATCTAAACTGATGAAACCCACATTCAAAGAGATTCGTAGGAAAAGTTACGTGGTGTTTTCTAGGAAATGTTGCTCAACGTGACCTCAGACTGTGATTCACGCACCGAGGAGCTCAAGTTCACAAGAAAACTGCCGACAGATAACATCTCCATAAACAAAACACTTGTTTCAGTTTCAATTGTAGACTTTTAAAGGAATACTAAGCGCTAAAAAGGACCATTTCTATATCGATTACTCACCTCGTGCTACTTTGAATTTGTAGGAAATACTTTGTTTTAGTTGCATGCCTAGAAAGTCAAAGTTTATCCAAAGAAATAGAGAACATTTTGGATAAATTCAAGTCAATAAAGCAGCATTTAACAGAAGCAAAACTATATTAAACATTGACACTATCAAATTGATTTAAATCAGGGGGGGCAAACTCAAATACACAGTGGGCCAACATTATAAAATGGGTACTAGTCGAGGGCCGGACTGGTTCAATGTTTATTGCAAGACTTATTGAAATGAACTTATTGCACATATTAAACATGGAACTAACAAAGCTTCAATTATTGCCTTTAAAAACAACATTAAACATTAAATAATCAGTTGCATTCATTTCTTATGTCTCTATCTGCAGCTTTTCCAGAGTCATTTCTTATGAGTACATTTCTCCACAGGCCAACAACAGCTTCAAGAAAACTATTTCCCTCAAAGAGAAAAACAAACATGCTCTGTTGTCGTGAGAAAAGGAAACATCCATGTAAACTCAGTGTGCTGCTCTGTGATGCTAGTTCAGATACTTGGCATCTCATCTTGGGTGCAAGTTCATCAATGTTTGGGGTCAGGCTCTGAGCTGAGGAGACCCTCAGGATGGAGTGAAGGTGTGCGTGCAATATACCGGCGGGCCAGATCTAATAGTAATTAGAAATTATCCTGCGGACCGAAATTAAATCCACCAAGGTCCTGATTTGGCCCCCGGGCCTCGAGTTTGAGACCTGTGGTTTAAATGCATGTTTTTTGAAAGTATTGAATGTACAAATGGATAAATGTGACTGATTATAATGCACGATTGTCAAACTGAGCAAAACTATAACAAACACGTGCATATTTTTTTTAATTGCGCTATATTTTAAACACTTAAACAGCCTCACGTTTTCTCTCGTTGGTGTGACTACTGTTTATGAGGAAGTGTTTTAATGTTTTTGGGGAAATGTAGGCGTTTTTGAAATAGTTAGCATACTAGAAACATTTTAATTGAATGTTAATGCATTAATTGTGTCAAAAGATATTATGATATAGTGTTGCTTGTGTTTAAAGTAGCCCCCATTTACTCATCAAGACTTTCCTGCTTTTTAACAAAACATTCATTAACCGCTGAGGCGTGACGAAAACAAAACTTTCCTCAAGATGTCAAGGTGACAGAAGGTAAATAATTGACGTACAAATGACCATAATGTCGTTGAATGCTCCACTACACAAACCCGTGTAAGATATAAGCAGCTCATTTCCTGTGATCGCTCTGTGTTTACAGCGTTATCGTGTTGTTATGGAGCTTTATTTGTGTCACAGGAGCCAACACATTCCTGTGAGGGTGTGAACATGAAGCAGTATCGTCCTCTGACTGAATGCAACTTCATCCTGGCAACACGAGGGATTTATATTGTGTCTGACTGACCTTGGATCTGTTTCAAATGGCATTACTTTCATAAGAAAGCTAAATATCCAGGACATTTCTGTCTCTAAACCAGAGAAGGCAAAAGTACACACATCCTGTACTCAAGTAGAAGCACAGATACTCGTGTTTAAAAATACTCTGGTGAAAGTAGAAGTACTGACTAAACTTCTTTACTCAAGTAGAAGTAAAGAGGGCTTTGAAATGTACTTCAGTAAAAAGTACCCATAACTAGCAGCTGTTTTAAAGAGTACCTGACCTCCCTTTATATTAATAGAACAATAATGTCATTGTTAGCTAATGAATGTTTCCATGCTGAACAACGGCAACATGACAACGTTTTCATTGGTCCCTCTTCTTTAGAGAAGACCAGGAAATGATGGATACACGGATCGTGTTCAAATCAATAGGCACGCAATGACTCTAAATAATAATGATCACGCCACCAAACACACATTCAAACTAAAGGAACCAGCCTGTTTGGGAAATGTGAGAAGTAGAAAGTACAGGTATTTGAGTTCAACATGTAAGAAGTAGAAAGTACAGGTATTTGGGTTCAACATGTAAGAAGTAGAAAGTACAGGTATTTGTGTTCAACATGTAAGAAGTAGAAAGTACAGGTATTTGTGTTCAACATGTGAGAAGTAGAAAGTACAGGTATTTGTGTTCAACATGTAAGAAGTAGAAAGTACAGGTATTTGTGTTCAACATGTAAGAAGTAGAAAGTACAGGTATTTGTGTTCAACATGTAAGAAGTAGAAAGTACAGGTATTTGTGTTCAACATGTGAGAAGTAGAAAGTACAGGTATTTGTGTTCAACATGTAAGAAGTAGAAAGTACAGGTATTTGTGTTCAACATGTAAGAAGTAGAAAGTACAGGTATTTGTGTTCAACATGTAAGAAGTAGAAAGTTCAGGTATTTGTGTTCAACATGTAAGAAGTAGAAAGTACAGGTATTTGTGTTCAACATGTAAGAAGTAGAAAGTACAGGTATTTGTGTTCAACATGTAAGAAGTAGAAAGTACAGGTATTTGTGTTCAACATGTAAGAAGTAGAAAGTACAGGTATTTGTGTTCAACATGTAAGAAGTAGAAAGTACAGGTATATGTGTTCAACATGTAAGAAGTAGAAAGTACAGGTATTTGTGTTCAACATGTAAGAAGTAGAAAGTACAGGTATTTGGGTTCAAAATGTAACAAGTAGAAAGTACAGGTATTTGGGTTCAAAATGTAAGAAGTCAAAGTAAAAAGTCGTCAGAAAAATAAGTAGTGTAAAGTACTGATACCAGAAACATGTACTTAAGTACAGTAACAAAGTATTTGTACTCCACTACTTCCCACCTGTGCTCTAAACTCTTATTTACAGATGTAATGTGTGAGATTACAATGGAAAATAACATTTTTTAGAGGAATATTTTTGACATTTTGTCTTCTTCTCTTTCTTCCTGAATGTCACATGATAAAATCAATACCTCTCCTATGATAGCTATAGCTTGTAACACCTATAAAAACAC